TTAGGGGGACAGCAGAGAAATCTGTGTTTCAATTCCATTTTTTTCTCCTTAGTGCTTTTCTGTTGCTCTTTTTTGAGGTCCAGAGTTATCCATTGTGGTGAATTTTCCCTCCATCCAACGTGTGGGTGGGGATGTTCTCAAGTTTATGAGCAAGAAAGAAATTGTGTGTAGTCAAAATTATCGTGGAATAGGACTTAAACTGCAGTACGCAAGACATTATGATATAACCCTGGACAGTAAGTGGTCGGCAAGCTACAATGAAACAGCTGCTGGAACAGACTCTGGAAGAACAAGTATCTGTTGCATCTTTCTGCGTGCATTCAAGCGGCTGTGTTGTTAAGACAGAAGTTTGCGTTCAAAATATCTAGGGTGGAGCCTGCGAAGTTTAGGATGCCCCTGCTGAGAACCACAGCTTTAAGACAACCGTCAGATTCCCCCCAGGTGCCTGGTGGGGGAGGAATTCTAAAGCATTTCTATTTGGCTGCAAGGCTTACTTTCTTCTCTTTTAATACTGAGCTTCAAAGACAAGTTAATACACATTGGTGGCTGTCAGCTCAGGTGGAAGCCTGTAGCAGTGGGCCTGGTATTTAATAGGTGCTCAGTGAATGTTTACTGGACTTGAATATAGAGCTCGCCTGATCAGACCAGTGTGGAATTTCCAGAGTTTCATGAATATCTTATTTTCAGAGATGACCCCATTTATTCAACATTCGGCACATATGTTCTTGACCTGCGCCGTGCTGGGCACTGTGCTAGGTGGGAGCTGGGAATATCAAAGTGATCCAGATGTGGTCTCAGTGTAAACATAAAAGCACAATGTGATCTGCTAGACTCTAAGGTGGAATTAGGAAACACTGGGAAGCTCTGGAGGTGGGGGGTGGGGCGGGCAGGCGGTGAGAGTGGGGCAGGGGTGGTGGAGAGGGTAGAGGGGGTGGAGGGGGCTGAGGACTGGCTTCGTGAAGGAGGGAAGGTTACCAAGCTGGTGTGATCATTACAGGTCATTGAACTCAACCCAGAGCTCTGACAGGCAAAGAGGCGTGGAGACGCCCCAGCACAGGTGTGCACGGGGCTGCAGGCTGACCCCGAATCCCCTCAGGCTACCTGGGGCTCACTGGGCTCCTGCCACCTGCAGCAGGGTCCACTGCTGGGCACTGGCCTGTCACTTCTGCTCCCTGCCTGGGTCCCAGCAGCCATCGGCTCAGCTGCAGTCGGAGGTTGAATCATCTCAGAAACCGCAGGCAGCAGGGCTCAGCCCAGGAGGCAGGCAGCTGAGCTGCTCTGGACTTCTCTTGGCTTCCAGCCTGCACTCTCCACTCTCTCCTGCTTGTCTCTTCATCTAGGGGACCCTCCTTCCCTACCGCCCCACCCCAAGTTTTCTCTATATCAGCCACGGTCTTCTTATTTTTCACATTTGAATATATCACACTGGATTTTGTTTGGAGGGGCAGATGCTGGTCTGTAATACCTACAGGAGGTCAGTGGGGGCTGAGGGGACTGGGGTGGGGGTGGGGATGCTCTATGAATGAAACCACAGGTACAGCCCAAGAAGGGTTAAGAGCTTGGTCCTCGAAGAGCAGCCGCACCACTGGAATTGAAATTCTGGCTCAGCCACGGCTCACCCCCCTGACTTGGGGCCAGTTCCTTAACTCTCCTGGAGTCCAGTTTCCAGTATGTATAATGGGTATTACAGTAATAGGGCTTTTGGTATAGGATTTTGGTGAGGCCAAGAAAATGTATGTTTAAAAAGCACTCAGTGCCATGCTTGGCCTATATAGTAAGCACTTGATAGAAGTCAGTATCAATATTACTATTGTTATTATTACTAATGCAGCATTCTGTGGACTGCGAGTTCTCACTGGAAAAAGGCTTGGCTCTGGAGACAGTTTAAACTTCTTTATCATCCAACTGACACGCGCTCCTCAGCTCCTACACTGCCCCAGGCAGGTGCTCCCCTCTGTGAGGCTGCCCTGGATGAGCAGGAAGGGCAGGCTATGCGTGGACAGGTCATCTCCATCCTTCCATGGGGGTGCTCAGGGCTCGCCCATTGATTTCCCCAGAGCATGGGTCCTGTGGGCTCCCTGGGTGCACTCAGGCTGGGGTTGTCCCTCCAGATAACCAGATAAGTTCTTTCCTTTCTTTCTTTCTTTCTTTCTTTCTTTCTTTCTTTCTTTCTTTCTTTCTTTCTTTCTTTCTTTCTTTCTTTCTTTTTCTCTCTCTCTCTTTCTTTCTTTCTTTCTCTTTTCCTTCCTTCCTTCCTTAACATTTTATTTATTTATTTATTTTAGGGAGGGGAAAGAGAGGGAGAAAGAGAGGGAAAGGAACATCAATGTGAGAAAGGGAAAGATATTGATCAGCTGCCCTTTGCATGCACCCCAACTGGAGACCGAACCCGAAATGCAGGCATATGCTCTGACCGGGAACTGAACCAACAACCTTTTGCTTTTCAGGAAGAGGCCCAACCAACTGAGCCACACTCATCAGGGCAGATCAGTATTTCTTAAGGCCCACTCTTTACTTTGCTCCATGTCATTGAGTCCTCTGAGGCTGGTATCACTCCCATTTTGCAGGTAGAAAGGGAGGTTCAGAGCTTTTCCCAAGGCCTATATGAAAATGTCAGATACTGGGTGAGTTTGGGTCCAAAGCTTGAGCTCATTGTCACTACACTGCTCTACCCCGCAACCGGGGCCAGCTTCCCGAGTGGGGGAACTTCCATGCTTAGAAGGGCCCCAAGCTCAGTCTAATGCTCTGCTGTCGCTATTTCAGATTCTTAATGATTTTGAATACAGGGCCCCGTGTTTTCGTTTTGCACCAGGCCCTGCAGATTGTGTCGCTGGTGCTGCCCACCCTCCTTTGCGGGGAGGGCATCTTCCTTGCAAAGAAAACAAACTGGGGTGCAGAGCAGGGCATGACTGGCACAAGGTCATGCAGCCAGAACAGGCCTCCCTCCTGACCACCTGTCCAGGAGGGTCCTCTGGAAGCTCTCCTGTGTCCACCCATGCCCTGGAAGGGGGAAGTTTTGGGAGCGGTCTCTGGCCGGGGTCCAGGGAGGGTGTTTAAAAAAGCACTTAGCAGACTTGATTTCCTGCCTCCCACTCTGAGACCTGGCGAGACTGACATCGTGTTATCTAGAGGTGTGAACACGGACGCTCAGACAACCCGTCCCTATGCTCCCTGTGGAATTCTGGTTGTGGCAGGCACTTCTGTGTGTCTGCGTGTGCTGTGTGCAAGCATGTGTGTGCATGTTGTGGGGGTGGTGAGAAATGGATTCCAGTCTTAGCTGCTTTCATTCACTTTTTAATTCCACAGATATAGTTCAGATTTGGGGGATACAGCCCCAGAAATACAAACATCCTTAGGATGCTTACATCTAATAGGCAAGACAGACTATAAAACAAATAATTGTCTCTGGCTGATGTGGTTCAGTGGATGAGTGCCAGCCTGTGAACTAAAGGGTCACTGGTTCGATTCCCAGTCAGGGCACATGCCTGGGTTTTGGGCCAGGTGCCCAGTGGAAGATGTACAAGTAGCAACCACACACTGATTGATGTTTCTCGCCCTCTCTTTCTCCCTCCCTTCCCCCTCTCTAAAAGTAAATAAAAAAAATCTTAACAAAATAAATAATCATACAAACACAGGTATTTGTTGCCTACTGCCCAGTTCTTTTTCTCCACAGACTAATTCACAGTTAGAAATAATGGGGTTAAGGGTGTACCCTTTGGCCAGGTGGGTGGGAGCCCCATGCCATCCCAGCGGACACCACAGTGGGCCTGGGCATTTTGGAGGCATTCGGGTCATGGCTGGGAATGAGACTGGTCTTGGTGCTCCAAGTCACTCACCTGGGGATGCCTGAGATTCCGCTGGGGGTCTTTCTCTGGGATTAGGTTTTATTCTTTTCCTGAGACCCTGTTTAATAAATAAAAATCTTAAAAAAAGAAAAAAAAAGAAACTGTTTAGCCCTGGCTGGCGTAGCTCAGTGGATTGAGCTCAGGCTGTGAACCAAAGCATCGCAGGTTTGATTCCCAGTCAGGGCACATGCCTGGGTTGCAGGCCATGACCCCCAGCAACCGCACATTGATGTTTTTCTCTCTCTCTCTCTCCCTCCCTTCCCTCTCTAAAAATAAATAAATAAAAATCTAAAAATAAAAAAGACCCTGTTTAAAATTCAGATCCCTGGGAGAAGGGGGCGGCAGGTGGTTTCACTAAGTTCAGAACATATCAGTGCTGTGCGGTGAGGCAGGGCTGCCCAAGGGCTCTGGCCCCCCAGAGATGCCCCCGACGGTACCACAAGGGGCTCCAGAAGGCCACAACACAATCTTCTCCGCCACCCTCTGCTGCTGACTCAGCCCAGCGCTACAGGCAGAAAGGAGAGCCAAAGGGAGGTAGGGAGAGTGAGGCCCATTCCAAACCCAAACCTGACTCCCGCAGCCTCACTCTGCCAGCCGGAAAGGCCAGAGGACCCAGGCCCTCACACCTGCAAGCCCCCGGCCCCTTGCACCTGCGGGCCCTGCAGCATCAGACCCCACCTACTGCTCTCGTGGGAACAGTCACGTTTTCCTCAGTGACAGCTCTGTGGTTGCCCACAGGACTTGACAAGAACTTTCAAGGTCCTTGAAATTTGGCACGCTATTTGGGGGGCAGGGCAGAGGGGAGGAAGAATGTGGAACCCAGCCACCACGGAGAGGCCCTGGAGTGAGGCGGGGCAAGTTCTCCCCGGAGCGCTGTCCCGGGCGTGGCCTGGCTGCCCTGGTCCCCTCATACAAGAATCTGCATGCTTCCTCCCTTCCTTGCTTTCTTCCTCTTGGTCCCTCCCTCGCCAACCTACCTGGAGGCAGGTAATAAAGCAGGAGGAGGGAGATAGATGGATGGGGAGGGCGGAGAGCCACGTGGTGCCATAAGGCCCAGCTAAAGAGGGCCGTCCTGGGAGTGCCCAGCCTACAGGAGCCAAGGCTCAGCAGGGGAACTGTTAGCCTTGTCCTGAGCAGCAAGGCCTGGAGAAAGACATGCACCGAGGTGTGCCAGGACCAGGCCTCAGGGGCCTGAAGGGGGCAGAGGACTCTGCCAAGGACTTGGGGGGCTCCTGCCTGGAAGCCGGGAAGGATTTTGGGGTGCTGAGGGAGAACGGCCTCTCTCGCGGCCTGGGCGAGGCAGAGGAGGCGCAGAGCAGTAGAAAGCGCGCACGACCAGTGCGGTCCAAAGCGCGGCGCGTGGCAGCCAACGTGCGGGAGCGCAAGCGCATCCTGGACTACAACGAGGCTTTCAATGCGCTGCGACGGGCGCTGCGGCACGACCTCGGAGGCAAGAGGCTTTCCAAGATCGCCACGCTGCGCAGGGCCATCCACCGCATCACTGCGCTCTCCCTGGTCCTGCGCGCCAGCCCCGCGCCCCGCTGGCCCTGCGCGCATCTGGAGTGCCATGGCCAGTCGGAGCGCGCTGGGGACGCCGGGGACGCGGGTTGCAGCCCGCCGCCGCCCGCCGGGCTCTTCGCACCGCGCTGTGCCTCGTGCTCCCAGCACACGCCTCTGGGACGGCCAGTGACCGAGGCGCAGGGTTTGGCCCAGGCCTCCACTGGGAGTTGGCGCCGGTGTCCAGGGGTACCCTTTGCCTGCCCGCTGGGCCACCCACGGGTGGATTCCGAGCCGAGCTACCTGCATTCCTGACCTGCTCACTGAGCGTACCAGCCAGTGGAGGGAGGAGCCAATGGCAGAGTGACTACAGGAAGACTGCAAAACAAAAAACAAAACAAACAAAAAACCCAACTGGACTCAGCAATACCGAATGGTCTGGTGCCTCCTTGCCTGTGCGAAGGAGCTCTGAAGCCTGGGACCGCACACCCCACCTCCGCAATCCCAACCTGGAGTGGCAACTCCGGGAAAGGAGCAGGATCCTGCTGGACTCTTTCTTACATTTGGACTTAATGAACTCTTCTTTAAAAGTGACTTTTGTATTCTCGCGTCTCTGAGTCCTTTTGTCCCTCGCTGCTCTTTAGGAGAAGGGGGGCTTTTGGACAGGGGGACTTGTATGCGGGAGTGTGGGTGGCACCACGTGTGGTCTGATGGGATGGTGTGGGGTCCCCTGCCCTGCCTGTGCTGATGCCCCACGTCTGTGGTCTGGGAGAGGTGATCAGAAGCAGCCAAATAAAGAGGAAGCCATCATCTCTGTGTGCTGCCAGCACGCCAGGACTGGGCCCCGTGGCCCAGGGGGGCAGGCAGGCCTGAGCGGCTTGAGGCCTGGGGACTCACCCTGCAGGCCCAGGTATGTATGTGGCGGCATCGAGTCAAGATTCCAGCTGTGGCTGAGTGTGGGGGGGCACTGTGGGAAAGGACATTATGGGAGAGGGGGAGCAAGGCCTGGGAGACTTAGAGTGTGGAGAGCCCCATCTCCGGACCCCTGCACACCTGCCACCGGCAGCCAGCCACAGTGAGGAGGGCAATGAAAATGGAGTCTGGGCCAGTCTCAGAGGAAAAAGCTGAAGGTAGGGCCGAGGATTGGGGGTCAGTGAGTCCTGCCTGTCCCCCGCGTGATGAGATGGAGCTCCCAGTGAACCAGTGCAGGCAGGGTGACTGTGAGGAGGGGTGGCCATAGAATCTGGGAAAGATTATGGGGAGGGGGCTCAGGGAAGTAGCCCCTTTCTCCCCAGAGATGTCTGGGGAGCTGCCCTCACCCGGAATGAGTGCCCCTGTGCTCGAGTCTGACCACACTCAGGCTGGCCTGGCTGGTGGCGCAGGTCCCGCTTGCTGGGTAAGGGCCTGCGTGTGCCAGGAAGGTGCCGAGAGCTTTCGGGCCTCCTTGGAGAGCAGGGATCTTGCCCGTTGGGAAGAACAGTTACACAGCACGGAGCGGGGAGCCCCCAGGAGCTGGAGAGGTGCCCTCAGCCCTGGAGGAGAGAGGCTTCCCCAGAAGAGTCGAAGGGAGGCTCTGCCTTCCAGCTGCTACACTTGGCATCCTGTCCCCAGCTCACAGGCCCCCAATTTCACGTGGCAAGTGGCGGTGGCACAGGTCACAAGGAGGCTTTGACTCGGGGTCTTGAGGGTCATGGGGTCCAGCTGGGAGCGAAGTGTGGGATTCTGGCCCCAGCCCTGCTCACCGAGCCTCCCTGTCGCGAGGAGGCAGTGCCGCAGTCTGCGAGTGCACAGAAAAAAGACAGGCGAGCCTGGGGTCCAGTCTCTGCCCCTCCACAAGCTGCACGTGTGACCCATGGCATCACTTAACCTCTCTGAACCTCTAGTTGCTCACCTCTGTCCCAGATGAGTCCACCTCGGGGTAGCTGGGGGATTCACATTCCTCCAAAACACAGTTTCTGGCAATTAGAAGGTGTTCCATAAACTGTCACTGTCTATATATTGCTATGCTTTCATGACAGACCAGCCCGGGCCATGTTCCCACCCTGCTTCAGCCTGAGGCTCTTACTCTCTGCCAACATGGTACAATGACCAGCAAGCGCTGCTTCCCTACAGTTTCTGGCAATTAGAAGGTGTTCCATAAACTGTCACTGTCTATATATTGCTATGCTTTCATGACAGACCAGCCCGGGCCATGTTCCCACCCTGCTTCAGCCTGAGGCTCTTACTCTCTGCTAACATGGTACAATGACCAGCAAGCGCTGCTTCCCTAAATTCCAGGATAGAAAGAGCTGAGGGTTCCCTGGTCCGGGGTGCTTTCAGCACCAGGGTGGCAAGGGTGCCCCCTGCAGGTGGAAAATCGAGTGTACAGCAGAAGTGGAAGGTCCGCTGGGGGCTGTGCAAGTCCCCTTGAAGTACAGTTGACCCTTGACAAATATGGGAGGGTTAAGGGTGCAGACCAAACACACAGTCGGAAGTCTGCCTGTAATTCAAATCAGTCTTCCACATATGTGGATTCCCAGCTGCAGACTGAAAACGCAGTTGAATTTTGAACATCCCAGGTTTCAACTCTGTAGGTCTGCTCAAACACAAAATTGAAAAAATCCTCTTGTATGAGAAGGTGCGCAGTTCAAACCCACCTAGTTTTCCAGGGTATTTCTCAGGATCCTCACTTACCAGCAGAGTAATCTTGGCAAATTGCCTCATGACGTTGAGCCTTGATGTTCCCATCTGTATAATGGACTTACATAATAAGTACTTACATCTTAGGCTGTGGAGCAGACTAAATGGGATCATGCATTTAAAGCACTTAGCGTAGCACTTACTGACTGGAGCACTTACTGACTGGAAGCTATTAAGACATATTCTATTCACAAGGTTGTTACAAGCAGAGAATGCATAGGAAGGTGTCTTATAAAAAGTCCACAACGTATTAGTTACTATCATTGTTTTATCAGGGCCGTGGGTTTGAGTGCACACACTGCCTGCTGGCAAGTATTTGCCTGACACTCTGAGGGTTTTTAACACACACACATCGTGTTCCTGCTTACACAGATGTGTGGACGTGCGAGTAGTTGTGTGCATATGTGTACATGTTGATCTAATGGGCTCCCCCTGATGCTTTAGGGGGTCCTCGGCCAGAATACCCCTTAATTGTGTGCCTTATAGGCTTTGTGGAACCTTCGCTTGATTTTTTTTCTGTCTCCAAGACCGTGTCCATCCTCCAAGCTAACTTACTTGCTGTGGAGAGAAGGTAAATATGTGACTGTTGAAGAAATGGAAGTCATCAACCAAGATAGGTTTGTCCAAATATAGAGAAAAACAGTACCAGGAGAGGTATTAATTGAGTATACAATGGAAAATACAGGAAAGAGAAAACGTACATAAGACAGAGCTGCTAAACTTACGGCTGAAAGAGACAAAGGACGGATGTGCATAAAGACAGAAACTATGTATCTGTAGAGTTAGTGCTAACAGCCCACTCAACTAGTGTTTAGAGGGGAGAGTTAACTTTTAAAGGGCAGAGAATAATAAAAATTGTAGCATGTTCACCCTGATCGAGTGGCTCAGGTGGTTGGAGCATCATCCCATACACCAAAAGGCTGTGGGTTCAGTTCCTGGTCAGGGCACACACCTAGGTTGCAGGTTTGATTCCTGGTCGGGTGTGTTTGGAAGGCAACTGATTGGTGTTTCTCTCTCTCTCCTCTCCCTCCCTCCCTCCTTCTTTTGCTCTCTTTGTAAAACCAATAAACATATGCTAGGGTGAGGAAGGTTTAAAAAAAACCAAAACTATAGCCCTTTCAGCAAGTTTACAGGTCACAAAGCCCTCTTGTGCACTCGGTGTCTTGGAGGCCTGTGCCCTCCACACTGTAGCCTCCAGCTTGCTGCAGACAGGACCTCACCTCTCTAGCAACGGACGGAACGTGCCAGTGCGAGTCACTGACAATTGTGACAGCCAGTGTTGTCGGGCACATGGAGGAAGGGACACATGTACGGATTTCTGGTTGTGCCGCATATCTGTTCCCTTTTTGGTAAGGAAAAACTTGGCAAAGCAAAAATAAAAAACACTGCAAGGAATAATCCAAAAGGAAAATAAATCTGCACAAAGGCAGTCCCAGCAGCACTGTACATAATAGTGAAGGATGTGAAATAACACGGATGCCCAACCGGAGGGGCCTGGGAAAGCTCACTCCGGTGCTCTGCCTGAGCACAAACCACAGTGAGGTGGGAAGCAGGTCAGCAAATGTTTCGTGCTGCTGACTGTGGCTGCAGACGAACCTGTAGGCGCAGCAGGGATGTGAACGGGGTTAATATCCATCAGGTTTTCGTAATTCTTTTTAAAAGGTGAAAGATTTGTCTCCTTAGGGCACCTTCCAAAGAGAAACAGGGACATGTTTTGAGGAAGGAAGGACAGTAAGGACAAAGGATCTCAAGTATCTTCCCTTAGAGGGACCCCACCTTACAGGTGTGTGAAACTGGGGTGCTTGCGTTGGAAGCATGATCACATGGAGTTTGTTTTTTAAAAGATTTTATTTATTTTTAGGGAGGGAAAGGGAGGGAGGAAGAGAGGGAGAGAAACATCAGTGTGTGGCTGCCTCTCGCACGTCCCCTACTGGGGCCTGGCCCACAGCCCAGGCACGTGCCCTGACTGGGGATGGAACCTGTGGCCCTTTGGTTCTCAGCCCGCACTCAGTCCACTGAGCCACACCAGCCAGGGCTGATCATATGGAGTTTTCCTCACACTTGGCGTGTACGTGTGTGTTTGTACAGATACTACTGCCCCAGGAGCAGGTGAGCCGGGCCCCGAAAGTCCTCAGTGAGAAGAGGAACTTGCCTCCTCACCCCACCCCGTCAGCCCCGTGGGATTCCTGACCGCAGGGAGCCAAGGGTAGGAAGGTCTGCCGGGCACAAACCAGAGGGCTGCCTTCCCCCCTTCCCCATTGATTAGGCTCCAACTTCCTTCTTCTCTGAGGTCTGCCCCCCGCCCCACCGTCCACCCCACTGCCCAAAGGACGCCCTCCAGTGTGCAGCTCCACTGCGCACACCTCGGCGTGTGCACCCGGTGTCCTTTGTGCTCAGGAGGGCTGGGCTGGAGGCGGGCAGGGCCGGCATGAGTGTTGGTGCAGACTCACCTTGGGTGCTTGGTTGGAGTTTTCATCTTCCTCCAGTTCACCCTGCTGCCCTCAACGACAAGCCAGGCACTGGGCTAGGGAGCTGGGTGTACGCCTGCTCCTCTGTGACCTCATAGCCCAGCACGGAAGAGGGACAGAGAAGGGAATGAGGTTCTGCAGCTCCCTGTGCCCATACTAGGAAGCAGCCAGCTGCGGACCAGAAGGCGGCCACCCATCTGTCTGGCTGGGCAGGGGAGGCAGGCAGGCCAGGTGCAGGTGGGGTCAGAAGAGCTCAATGCTCCCTTCTCAAGGCTACAGCTGACCCTGCGGCTCTGCAGAAGATGGGCCCAGGGTCCCCAGATCTTTGTGTTAAAAAATCTAAAATGCCTATTTTTTGTGAAATAGATTTTAAAACACTCCACACTTGTTGAGTCAATATTGTGTGAGTCAAACTCACTTTATATAATGAATATGGCCCGTGGGCCTCCACTTAAGACTTCATTTGAGATTTGAGGGAGTGGGAGGCTGGAGCAGGACCTGGCTGCCACAGGAGCAGCTGGCTGGGTCGGGCTCCGTGGCCCTGGAGCCCAAACCAGGTACTGCCTCTCCCTGCCTCTCCCTGCCTCTCCCCCATCTCCCCCATCTCCCCCATCTCCCCCATCTCCCCCATCTCCCCCATCTCCCCCCAGCCCTGGTTTCTGCGCCACCGGTGGTCATGCTCTGCACCATCAGTCCACTAGATGGCACCAGGAGCCCAGCATCTCACAGAGACAGGGTGGACCTGAGTGCCTATGTCCTGAACACCAGCCCACCCAGCCATGGGCCGCCCTGGGGACTTCTTGGCTTTTTCTGTTCTCTTTGAGTTTTTGTGTCAGGTTGGTTCTGTCCTCGAGGCCGGCATTGCCCAATAGAAATACAACACAAACCGCCTTTTAAGTTTTTTAGTAGGTACATTAAAAAAGGTAAAAGAACACAGGTGACATTATTTTAATAATGTTTTATTTTGCTCAGTACATCCAAAACATCGTGTCAAAACAGTGTTCAAAGTTTGGTGAAATAGTTTACATTCTGTTTTTTTGTACCAAGTGTTGGAAGTTCTGTGTGTTTTATGCTCACAGCATGTGTCAAAGGGACAAGCCACATTGAGTGCTGAAGCTGTTTGTCTGGAGGCCGCAGAGCAGGCTGGGCAGTGGTAGGCCTGTGGAGGGCTCAGGTTCAGGCACCTGGGGGTAGCGGCCAGGCTGTCACATGGAATCCTGTCCAAGCTGGATGCTGACCAGAGTCTCAGGGTCTCAGGGACCCACCCTGCCACCCTCTGCAGGAAGTCTCATGTTCAAAAAGGTGTTAGCACATTTCCCAGAGTTCCTGGGCAAGGGAGCTTGGCTCGCCCCTCCCCCCACCCATTTCAAGGCCGCCCCTGGCATGGGTGAGGGTCCTTCTGAGGACCTAGGTGGGGAGGAAGCCCCTCCATACCCCATGCAGGGCAGGCAGCCTCCATCTCACTGACCTGAAAGTTTTTAGTTTGCAAGTAATGGTGGACTTCCTTCACTGAGCAACAGTTCTTAATTTAATGTAGTCATATTCATCGAACCTGAACGTTTGTCCCAAACTACTTTTGAAACTGATTTGCCTCCAGGAGTCCTTTTAGTCCCCCTGGCGTGGGGCTCCTCGCTGCTCTCCTCACCTCTCTCTGTGGCCGGGTCCTCACTCTCTCTGGCACCACACTCCCTCCTGCACCCGCGCCACTCCTGCTGGAAGCAGCATTTGGAAGCCAGCTAGACACAACCCAAAGCCATTCCTCTCTGCTAAACTGGTTCCTTTTGCTTCAGACTAGCCCCCGAACCAGATCGGACCAGAGATTGGTGTCTGGAGAGGACTGGTGTCAGTTTGAAATGGGTGTCTCTTTCCACGTCCAGGCCTTGGTCCTTTGATCTGTGTGATCCGAACGGATTTGAATGGCGACCACCCCTCTGAGGCCCCTCCCATCTCTGACTTCCCACCACCTCTGGTGCACGCTCCCAGGGCCTGAAACCCTTAGCCACCCCCTCCTCTAAACCACACACACACAGATACACAGATGCACACCCTGGTGGTTCCAGGTCACTCTTTTGGGGACACGGGAAGAGATGCCGGGAATAAAGAAAAGGAGGCAGAATCAGAGGGAGGGACATAAGGGAACAAAGACACCGAGGATCAGAGTGGACAGGCAGCCAGGACCGAGGCCCTTCAGAGTCAGCATGCGCCCCCGGAGGCCCCCAGTACGAGGACATTTGCCTACTCTTTGGCATCACAGAAAAGTTCTAATGGGCATGAGATGGGGCCAACACTCCCCTCAACACCCCTCTGCCCCTCACCTTGGTGAGCAGCTCAGAAACCCACTCAGAGGGCCCTGCAGGGGCCTCACTGGTGCTGGATCTCCCCTTGGCTCCCAGAGCCTGTTCTCCATGCCTCCGGGAGCTGGAGATCATGGTTGGGGTCCAGGGCCCTGCGTTTCCCTACAGATAGGAGGAAACAGCAGCCTGCTCCAGTGGAGGAAAAGCAGAGGGCTCAGTTTCCCGGGACAGTTGAAGACACACCCCTGTGAGACCCACTTTGTCTTTTTGCCTGTCCAGAGCCCTCAGTCGAGAGGAGCAGGTCTTGTGGCTGCAATGGAAAGTGGAGGCCAGCCTGAGTCCCTCTGGGCTGGGCCGGGCTGGGCAGAGCAGGGCTGGGCTGGGGCAGAGGCAGAACACTGCTGGGCCGTTCTCTGGGGAGAGGGGAATTGAAAAGGGAAAGCATCTCTGAGGAGGGCAGAGAGGGAGGGAGGCCTTGCGGCATGCACACACACACACACACACACACACACACAGCCGCCCTGACTTAGCCTAAGCCTCAGTCTGGAGAGCAGCATCTTCTCTCGGCTCCCGAAGCGGCTTTCTGTTGCTTCCCCGCCCATCCGTGCTGTCAGCAGCACCAGCAAAGTTGACCTCGAACTTGAGCGGAACTGAAGTCTCCGGCTCCCAGGAGCTCTGCTGGGCAGCAGGCGGGACCCAGACTCTGAACTCTGTTGGCCTGGAGAAGCCGACCCTCCCGATCTACAGCTGGCCCGTGCTCCCTGGGGACACTTCTGCCTCTGACCTGCAGGCCCCCAGGCTGGGCTGAGGAATGGTGCGCTGAGTCCCTCCGGAACCCCCTTATCACAGCCTGGAACCGAAGCAGCCCAAGGCCCAAGCCGACATGGCCAACCCCGTGCAGCCTCAGTTTTCCCCCATGCGGGAACCTGGCACCGCCTCACCCCCGGACCTGCCCGAGATGGAGATGCTTCTCACCAAGGTGGGGGACAAGGATGACAAGCCCCCGAAGCTGTCCAAGTCCCTGTCAGGGGCTCTGGACCTGGAGCAGAATGGCCATGGCCTGCCCTTCAAGGCGGCGCCCGGGGGGCGCCAGGAGGCTTCACTCCCCCGGTCGCCCTCTCGCGCCAGCTCCAGACGAGCGTCCTCCGTTGCCACCACCTCCTATGCCCAGGACCAAGAAGTCCCCAGAGATTACCTTATCCTGGCCATCGCCTCCTGCTTCTGCCCCGTCTGGCCCCTCAACCTCATCCCCCTCATCTTTTCTATCATGGTAAGCGCTGCTGTTTGCTCCAGGGCAGGGGCTGGGCCCAGGGGCAGTGGGCACGCTCCCTGGTGCCTGGTGTGGGCGTAGGGAAAGAGAGCTGGGCACGAGGGGCTGGGGGGAGAGACTCCCTTTCTAGGCTGGCCTACCGCTCCCCCTGGGAGAAGGGCCCCAGGGTCAGGAGAGCTGTTGTTTGCCGTCCTCTCTCATCTCTGCTCCTGGGTCCAGCTTGACTTTGCACACAGCCCTGCTGGTTAGGGGGCCCAGGGAGTCCCCTGGGGCTAAGTTCCAAACTACAGAACACAGCCAAGTCGGGGGGTTTGTCTTTGGCGGCAGCGTGGCAGAGGGTTCACCCGAGGAGTCATTCCTGAGTAGAGCCACATTATCAGCAGAGTTGCAGCTGCCGTGGAGGCCCAGGGCCCACATTCTCAGGAGGGGAGCCAGCCTCCCCACAGTGCCCCTGCCCCTCATCCCGGGCCACCTGGGTGCTCTTGGACCCTTTACCAGCTCTGGTTTCCAAGAGCCAGAGGTGGCTTCCCTGACATGCCCTGGGGCCCCGGGGGCCTGGCTCCCCAGGGGATGGTGCTTGCTGGAGCCCTCCGGGCCTTGGCGGCTGTACTGACCTCGCATCTGCCCTCAGGGCAGGGGAGGTCTGAGCCTGGGTGGGAAATGTGGCAGAGGGCACGGCTCGACTTGCCAAGGAGGGCACGTGGGCCCATCTGTCTCCTCGCACACTTGTGCTGCAGGGTTTGAGTGCATTGCCTCAGACTGTCCCCAAGACAAGACATTCAGATAGAGCTCCTTGCAGAGGAGCCACGGAATATGTCAGCAGATGTGACTTCTGAGGTCTAGGAAGAAGAGAGAGAAAGACGGGGCAGGCAGTGACTTCTAGAATGAAGTTAGGAGCCGGGGGCAGTGAACGGCTCGTCCAGGGCTGGCCAGGGCCAGAGGGCTGGGTGGGGAGAGGCCGTCTGCTTCCCTCTGCGGTGACGTCACTGCTGAGTCATCTGTCACCAAGCCCCTGGGAGCTGTGGTCACTCTTGCTGCTCCCCGCTGTCCTCTTAGAAAGTCCCTATTTTCTCACACTTCCATGACTACCCCACTGATGCCCAGTCCCCAGATGGGGACACCTTCCCCAGCCCCCACCAAACCCAGCACCACCTGCCAGGATGTCAGGGCGCACTGGCAGCGTCCCTAAGTCAGAGGGACTTGGCGTGGGCACAAGAGCCAGGGCTGGGCAGGGCCCAGGGTGGGATCTTTGAGGAGCTTCCCGTGTGCCTGCTGCAGCCCAGGACGGCTGGGGGCAGGGCCCAGCCCCGGGTGCAGCCTGCGCTCTGGGCGGGGCCGTCTCTCGTCTTTCTCGGTTACTGGGAGAAGCCCGGGAGGGGAGGCAGCCTAGGGGAGGAAGACTGCACAAGGGCCCAGGAGAACACAGTTGCTAGAATCTGTCCCCTGGCGGGGGGTGGCAGGTACAAGCGGCTGGCAGAGCTGCCTCTGTCAGAGGAAACCCGAGCCCAGACTGTGAAGCCAGTGAGACCGCTCTCGAATTTCCATGTCCTCCTCACGTTCCTGAGTCAGCTGTGATTGTCACCGGCCAAGGGCAGGGAACAGGGTGCTAAACCAGACAACATCACCAATTCCCTGGGGGCTCTAGTCTAGTGGGGGGTGGGGGAAACTTCTAAACAGATCCTTACAACACATTGCAAGAAGTATTCACACTAGACAAAAAAATCCCACAAGGCATTGTGTCACCTTGGGCAAGTGACTCAAACCTCTCTTCTCAACATTCCGATCTGCAAAATGGGCTGCCACCACAGCACCTACCTGTGGGGCCGTGCGAGGGTGAGGTGAGACGGGCCCTAGACAGCGCTTGAGAACAGCAGCCGGCAAACAGGCGGCTGTCACACAGGAACGGCGATTCTGCGGTAGCTGCCCGTCTACCTGGCGACGGCTGGAAAGCATCATGGGTTTGCTATGGGCATTTTTTAGAGCTTTGAAATATAACTCACATAGCATACAGTTCACCTACCTAAGCGCATGATTCAATGACTTTTAGTATAGTCACAACTAAGTGCAACCACGGCCACACTCAATGTGAGAACATTTTTCTCACCTCCAAAAGAAACTGTACCTTTTTTCTATTACCACCCGCCCTCCTCCACCTCTTCCTCAGTCCCTCCCAAACCCGAGTGGCCGCTGATCTTTCTGTCTGTGTGGATGGGCCTCTCCTGGAGGTTTTGTATAAATGGAACCCGACAGTGTGTGGTCCCTCGGCGACTGGCTCGGTTCACACTCGGCAGAGCATTTTCAAGCTCCGCAGGGTTTGGAGCCGGAGAGCGGTGTGGTCAGATTTCCATTTTGGAGGATCAGCACTGTGTAGGGTGAAGGGAGGGACCAACGGGGCCTTCTGAGCCTGGCATTCGGGAGAGGGGACCTGTGCAGGCCTGCAGGTGAGAGTGTCAAGGCCGGGACCGTGGTGGGGGCAGGGGAACCTTCTTACAGTGGCACCACGGATCCTCCTTTCCGTCAACCATTCACTTGAACGGCGAGTCGCTTGTTGGGGGGCAGCTAAGTGGTGCGGGATAATCAGGGCCCCGTGAATGAACGTGTCTTCACGCACCAGGCACCATGTTAGGCATCGGGGAAGTGGTCAGATAAGACGAGGCCTGTCTGGCGTGAGAAGGATGCGGGAGCGTGGTGGTGCAGGGAGGCAGACCTGTTCCGGGAATTTAACTTTCATCCTAGTGCTCTCAGGAGCCGCTAAAAAGACTTAGGCAGAGGTGTGATGTGGTCAGATCATATTTTAAAACTAATACCCAAAGCATTGTGGGAAATGAACAAGAGTGGGCAGGATGGGGATCAGGGAGACCCCGCAGGAGGCCCTCGAGACTGCCCAGGCGGCGAAGGCCGGAGCTGAGCCATGGGCCCAGAAAGGCGGGCACCGAGGAGGGAAGGAATTGCTAAGGAGGTAGGAGCAGTAATTGCTTTTGGCTCCTGGATATTCTCCCCCAAAACAGTGGAACTGCCTTAGAGAAAGCTCCGCAGCATACAGCATTTAAGGGGTGGGCAGAGGGAAGTGGACAGAAAAGGTTTTTCAGAAGAAGATTCCAGGAGGTGGGAGGAAAACTGGAAAAGAAAGAGACACCCAGGTAGGAGCGAGTTTGAAGGAAGAGGGAGTCGTCAAACATTGCGGAGAGATCAGGTTCGATAAGGATGGGAGTGTCCCCTGGCTTGGCCAATCACAGACCTTGGGGACCCTAGTGATGGAGAAGCTTGGGCAGAAATGATTGACAAGGTGAGTTCCCTGAAGAGCAGAGCGATGTGACTCAGAAGAAGGACTTCCTTCCTGGGAGCTTCCTTCCTGGGACCTCATTGCACCACCCAGGGTGGGTGGGCGCCTCTTCCTTCCTGGGAGCTTGGAGGAGAGGCCGTGAGGGCAGAAGCAGATAGAAACTCAAAGAAAAGGAAGTTGGTTTACGCTGTATGGGACCCATGCCACCAGGGACAGGGAGGGCAAGGTGGTCTGCTGGGAGATGAGGGCCTGATGGCAGAGGAGAGGAGCGGTGACTAGGGACAGATGGGTCAATGGCCCGAGGGCTCTGCTGAGGCTGGAGACCTGGGCCTGAGTTATTATCAGCCTGCGGTGGTGTGGCTTTTGCCCAGCTGCAGACGTAGAGTCCCTGATGTGACACTGGGCCTACCTAGACCTGCGGATGGCAGAATTGCCACGAGGGCAGGACCAGGTGGCACAGAAGATGCGAGCCGGGGTGGCTGCGATGCCGCACCCAGGATCGGGCTGGACTGGGAGGGAGCGAGGCCAGGATCTTGGCTATAGCCATCTATAGGGAGGCTGGTCTCAGGCTGGGGCTCAGAAGGGTCAAAGGGCAGGTGCTATGAGATAGCAAGGGTGAGAGAGAGATTGGGGGCTTGAGATTTCAGAGGAGGAGCCAAGGCAAGTGTGAAGTATAGTTGTGGAAATGAATTTCTAAGGGGAACTGTCAGGAGCCAGTGAGAAGGAACCTGAGGAAACTCAGGAATGAGGGAATATTACTAACACCACGTGTTTTCTAAAGGTTAGGCACTGGTCCAAATACTTTATATATATTATCTCATTTCAGTCAGACTATAATCCTGTGAGGTCTAGGTATTGTCACTGCTCTCCGTGTGCCGGTGAGAAAACTGAAGTACGGGCGTGTGGAATAACCTGCTCGTCAGTGATCGGGAGCCCAGGACAGGGTGCCTGGGGCCCAGGACAGGGTGCCCGGAGGCCAAGCTCTTGTTCCCACCCACTCCACAGCCTGCCTCCAGAATCCGAGGGCGCCCAGGTGGGGAGCGCTATTGGGTGTGCCCACAGCTGTCTTCCCTCTTCTGGGAGCCGGTCAAGTTCATGGGAAACTCCCATTTCCCAGGGAGGGAGGGGTCAGTTATTCACCTAGGGCTGAAACCCTCGGTCCCACCCGAACAGCATTAGGGTGAAGGAGGGCCGGAGAGTGTGGAAAGGCAGTCAGTCTCCTGGGCTGGGGTCTCGGGTGCTGGGCCAGACTTCAGAACTCCTCGTCTGAGGTCTTCCCACTGGCTACCAGGTGAGGGGCCAAACCTTTGATCTGGGCTGGAAGGAGACCCCCAGCCCTGCCCGGCAGCTTTTCTACAGCTTACTGTCTGCAGAGCGTGTCCTGACACGTGGCTCACAGAGTCTGGCTATATGTCTCCACTTGACAGACGAGGCACCTGAGATGCACGAAACAGTGTGCTGCCCACAGTCACACGACCGGGAAGAGCCACATCAGCTGCAAGCTGAACCCAGCGTTCTCTTGTGGTCCCACCCTGCATCTCCCTCTGGGGGTGAGGACTGTGTGCCCTTCCCAGGGAAGCCAAACCTCATGCAGGGCAGGAGGAATTTCCCTTCCTTCTCTGTTTCCCTGCCCCTCCCCCCACTGTTCTCCCTGCCTCCAAATCCATCAGTGGAGACAATGGACCATCAGCATCCTTCCCACGGTGGCTTCCCACCC